AGGTTATATATTACTACTATATACGTTATATATTACTACTATATAGGTTATATATTACTACTATATAGGTTATATATTACTACTATATAGGTTATATATTACTACTATATAGGTTATATACGCACCCATTGAGAAAGGTACGAAGCCGTCGGGTTTAACCACCTTCCCGTCTGGGCCGAGGAATCTCTGTGGTCGAAACTCTGCAGGTTCCGGCCACAGCTTCGGGTCGCTATGTACGGCGTACAGATTCGGAAATATCGCTGTTCCCGCCGGAATCGTGTAGCCTCCAAGCTCAGCCGGTCCCATATTGTTCGCATGCATCACACCTGAGCATGCGATGTGTGTCGTTAGGACTCATGAGATTGTATAATTATGATGATGTGTATGAGAGTAGCATGAGATGTGTCACACCTGAGCATGAGATGTGTCACACCTGAGCATGAGATGTGTCACACCTGAGCAGGAGATGTGTCACAGCTGAGCATGAGATGTGCCACACCTAAGCATGAGATGTGTCACACCTGAGCATGGGATGTGCCACACGTGAGCATGAGATGTGTCACACCTGAGCATGAGATGTGTCACACCTGAGCATGAGATGTGTCACACCTGAGCAGGAGATGTGTCACACCTGAGCATGAGATGTGCCACACCTGAGCATGAGATGTGTCACACCTGAGCAGGAGATGTGTCACACCTGAGCATGAGATGTGTCACACCTGAGCAGGAGATGTGTCACACCTGAGCATGAAATGTGTCACACCTGAGCATGAAATGTGTCACACCTGAGCATGAGATGTGTCACACCTAAGCATGAGATGTGTCACACCTGAGCATGAAATGTGTCACACCTGAGCATGAAATGTGTTCCACCTGAGAATGAGATGTGTCACACCTGAGCATGAGATGTGTCACACCTGAGCATAAAATGTGTCACACCTGAGCATGAGATGTGTCACACCTGAGCATGAGATGTGTCACACCTGAGCATGAGATGTGTCACACCTGAGCATGAGATGTGTCACACCTGAGCACGAGATGTGTCACACCTAAGCATGAGATAGAAACTGGCACTCAAGGAGTCTAACTGCACGCTCAGCGTTTCATCCTTGTGGATGTGTGTGGATATACTTGGTTCTATACACCATTTTATGTATGCTGATTCTATACCCTATTCTATATCGTGATTCTATGCACTATTCTATACATCTTGATTCTATACATCTTGATTCTATACATCTTGATTCTATACATCTTGATTCTATACATTATTCGTTATATCTTGATTCTATACATTATTCTTTATATTTTGATTCTATACATTATTCTATATACTATTCGATACACTCTTGCTTCTAATTAGCTCTAGCCGTGTAGCAGGAGCGAATGGGACTATACTCGCGTTGAGCCATAGATTCTATACTGTTCCTGACTCTTCTCGATGGAGATTTATGTAGGCTCACTCACCCAGCGGTACAGTGTTAGCAAGTCGTTGTATCTCCATGATGCAAGCTTCGGTGTAGGGCATTCTGGACTTGTGCTGCATGCAGGGCTGTCCATCGGGCCCCACCACATCATCAATCTCACGCTGAACTTTCTACGATCAACAACAACAAAAGGCCGATCACGCAACATGCGAGATCGATATGCGGGCACATCTCGTATATGCTAGAAAATCGTTGTTCTGTGTGCGTAGGCCTATAATCATGTGGTGAGCGAGGATGATTGAGCGGAAGAGAAAGCATGTTTGTGAGGAGAGAAAGAAAATATGGAGGAAGGGGGAGTAGAGAGAGAGAGAGAGAGAGAGAGAGAGAGAGAGAGAGAGAGAGAGAGAGAGAGAGAGAGAGAGAGAGAGAGAGAGAGAGAGAGAGAGAGAGAG